CCGTGGGCGGGCTGACAACTACCTTTGGCCTTGGGACAGCTAGTAGTATGCTAGACAGGAAGCCTTATCGATCGTGGTATCCAGTACGGGGCATGACGAGCGCAACTGCAGTCCGGTTCTCTGGCTTCGTATCTCTGATTTTAACAGACCAAGTGAAATAAGGGCCAGTGAGATCCAGCATGGAACCTGTGAGATAGGTAGATGCCACCGTGGCTAGTTCAGATGGACTCCATCACTGTGATAGAAAACCACCGATGCGTGCAGCCCAACAAACGCATCGTGGGCATCACTGCAGTGCACGAACACCAGTGTATTAACCAGTGGCAAGCGTCTCCAATGCGTGCTTTGAAATGCGGCGTCACGCGCCCACACACACGAGTCCGTGCACATGATAAAAATGAGGCATCAATCCAACTATGGCAAGGCCTATTGAGGCTCGATCAAGCGATGGCACGCACGGTGCGGATGAGACACAGGTGAGGCAATCAATATGTAAAGTCACGCCGCATGCTGAGGCATTGCGGAACGCTCACTTCATTGATGTGCCCGGTATCTGCAACTGAGCTTTATTCGATATACGTGATGAATGATAATCATCGTTGCAGTGTTCCCGGTCTTGAACGTTAGTCATTAATGAGCTATGCTCCAGAAGCATACACAATGTAGTCTATTTGAATCGACTGAGGAATAGTATTCCCGTTCAGCTTGCCGTTAGCGGAAACAAAAATCACTTATCTCTGCAGAGCTGCTAGAATCAGCATCATATCCCCATAATTCAAAACTCTGGCGTACATGCGCTACGGTCCAGTCATGCTGATTTGGGCTTTGCGAACCTCATCATAGCTCTGTCGCATGCAATTCTTGAACTGTGACTTCAATATACTGAACACATTCAGAATAAATAACATTTCTTGATCATCGCAACCCATGCCCACCTTCAGTCGGATTGTGAGCCGATGAATACAGCCCTAGGCGTACCAGCGACGTGGATTCAAAATTCTCCGTGAATACTTCTCCAGACTGCACTTTCACCGAGCTGTACCACAAACAATGACCGATGTTATGGCAACCTGTGTTGGCAAAATAATCAGTGACTTCCATATCCACTGATGTGTGTACGATCTTCTTTTGACAGCAAACCAGATGAATCCAGTAGTTGCACTGCGTTCATAATGTGTGGGTTCCAACCATCCACGCACCAATGAAGTCTCCACAATTGGTGACGAAATGTCTGCAAATAAGCTGTTAAGCTTGCCGAACAGATCAACAGTCATCTGATATTCAAACAGCAGGAGTTGCGTTTGCCATGCACCTTACTCGATAATTCAATCGCGGAGGCTTCCTGTCATGCATACTGTTAGCTGGTTACCAGCTTTTCGTTTCAGAAGGACTTGGTAAGCAACTGGTAGTTTTTTACCTGAGCAACGTTTCGCTTTTGACCCAAAAGCTTCATCGGGCCTAATAAGCAGGTCACCAAGGACCGTAGACATCTGCCAACTCCAGCTTTACTCCTGTTCATTGTAGATATTGATCTGCCTGTAAGGACCCTCGGCTAGGTGTTGCTCGACCTTCTGTAGCTAATTGCTCTTGCTCACGACAACAGTAGCCTTACCTTTATCCACCAGCATTCTTCGGTTAGTTATTTGGACTTTTCGAATTGAGCATGACGGTCATGAGAAGGCAAAGCTAGCAGACACGGCAGTAAAGTAACTCATGTTGCCTTCGAACACATACACATCAGCATTGAGCGGTGTTCGGCTCGTACAAAAACGGGGGGTCGGTGCGATAAGAAGCTCAAGCACCAAGACCATGGCAACCATCCCACATCCTGATTCTAGGTCCACGCGCTGACGTGTTGAGTTACTGATTTCTTGTGAAAGCACGGTGTTTAGTAGCCCAAGCCTGATTTACAGACTGGCCCGAGTGAGGTATGAATAGCATACAATAACATGTCCCTGTCAGTTTTTCCACATCTTGGAGCATTCACTGGCAGTAACCCTGATACTGCAATCGATGAGCTTGACTGATCATGTCGGGAATAATTGCAGTGCGAAGTGCATTGCGAAGTGCACAGCTGACTGTCCGCAGTCGAATCCTGGTTGTGCGTTCGGCCGCCGGGGGCTATCTACCATTCGGTTGGCGAGTTCTGTTTTTTTTCAACCTCCCAGTCCGTCTACAGTGGTTACTAAATCCGCACACCGTTTCGCCCAAATCGGGTAGTCTGTGTGCGTCACATCCATAAGACGAGCCTATATACAGCCTGGCTCAGCTGATTCGGTACATCGAGGTTGCGTATGTGAGCACAGCTGTGTTGAAACTCATTGTATGGATTGGACGAAAATGAATGCCAATGACTCGAACGTGTAGACACCCAAAGGGCTACATTCAAGGTGCCGGTATGTGGGCTATCGAACGCACCATATCAAACATGGGGTACCTAAGTTGTCGAGTGGATAACGGCAAGATTTTGTGTCTAAAAGGTTTGACAGTTCAAAGTTGCATACGACGGTCAATGGTTGACAAACCCAGATGAACTGAACTCGAGTCTGGTGAGTCTTGTATCGAGTTCTCGTTATTTTTCTTATCTTTGCATCATAGATTTTCTTCACTCGGACCTCTATTCTACCAATAACATCAATTTATTGTCTCGCTTAAGGCCTAGCCTCCAATCTGAATGTTGCACTCAAAATACTTGAATAGTATTCTTGAGCTTTTGCAGGTAGACTGACCTCATTTGTCCATCCAGACGTGAGTAGAGCATCTATAGTGTGTGGATTGAATGCCCCTGGAGAGAGGGTGAGACTGATGATGGTCTTTTGCCGCACCCGGTTCATGTTCAGGATTGAGAGTCCGTTAAAAGCAACAACACGTCGAGTCATGGTGATCTTAAGAGTGATTTGTGAAAGTAACTTGTAAAGATGAATATTTTTGTTCCAACTCCTAACTCACTTGTATGCAGCTGTGCTTGCGTTCACGTTGGAATTTACACTGGACAACTGGCAGTTTTACCCATGCTTAGCCGTGTTGGATCACCAACAAGCCACCAAAAGTTCTCGTCAAATTCTCAGTACAACTGATCAAATTATGGTTTATAATTTTTTTTCGATCTCATTCCGAACTTTTACTCTGCCACTTATCATGGAATCCGTATTGTTTGCAACGCGAACGTTTCTCTAGATTTTTCAATACTTCTAATTTTACAAGTGAAAAGGAGAAGGTCTTCGCTGCGGAGTTATTAATTAGAAAACGCCAAATGAGCAGTTACAGACCATTGGATAGGGGAGCAAAGCTCTCATATGCATCTTGTTCACGAAACTGAATATCCATCTTCTCCTTGAACGCGTCTTCCTGAACTTTCCTGGATATTCATTGACTGTTGCTCAAGTGCAAGCAAATACGACTTCACAAATTCCGTAATAGATCTTACTTTTCAAGTGACGCGAAGCGGATCTACGAGAAAACACACTACTCGCGTGCGCCCATCAGTAGTATCCACCGTAACACAGGTAGCGTTGCCATTATCTCTGTGTTCGATCCACTGTTGTCACGGTCGTCCTACACTGTTTGTTTTCCTGTTTTCGCACAATTGCGGATGGTATTAGAAATGACGGTCGTTTAGGTCTGTTCTTATTTAATCAGCACTAGTTATCAGGCCACAATAGGCAAAACCCAGTACGGTTTCAATCGGTTAAGTTGTCACTAGTTGGTTCACAAACCTTGAAATTTGGCAGTATTAGTGCGTAGGTATCCCTAATTTTGGGGGACAGTTTTACCTCTGTCGAAATTCTTAGTCTGAATTCTCGCTTTTCAATAGCTCTATCCAGCACAATTAGGCGACTCCATGATATGGCCACCGTATTTATTTTGCGTGTCCTTATATAGCCACAATACTAACCCATGATATATTCAGCATGGACCCTCGGAACATCAGTCTATCCTTGGTTACATTGTACTATTGAGGTGAGTCAGCGGGGCAACACTTTTAGGCTATACAGCTTGTCTTTTTAGACAAAAGGCAGACTCGTGGATGGCAAGAGAACTACTAACCGGTCTTTTGAATGATTCAATTGAACCATAATCACCTACTGGAATTCACCCGGAAATGGGACTAGGAGGAGGGTAACGAAAATTATCTGACGCCATTTCCAAGTAATACATTATCTTGTTGCGAAAAAATCGATTTAAAAAAAGACTGAACGGCGCCCCAAGTTGAAAAAGCAAAATATGATATAGTGGGAGAGCAAAAAAGGCTAACGTAGAAAGTGTTTTCCACAATCGTCTCGTTACTGAACCCGAGTAGTCAGCGCAAGTGAAACATTCAAATGTTTACCAAATATGAATGGGTGTTTCATGTAGCCACAAAAATGTTTAAACAATGTCGGAAGGAGGGTTTTTTTACGAGCCTTGAAGACTATGGCTCTATGGATTTGGTTGAAACCCAGGAGAAGTGTACTACCGTGCACCGCGTGTACTACCTTTTTGATGTGTAAGCGCAGGAGTAATTGTGGAAACTGGCACTCAGTTTGGAGAAAGGGATGGGTTTCTCTCAGGAACAACGGGATAAAAATTCATGAACGCTTCAAAATGAAATAAATCTTTTCTTAAGGTAGGTTTGCTGGTCAAAGAAACACATCACCCTGAGGACAACAATGTAATTGATGGCTTCCAGTCATCGAATCCTAGATTTAGTAGACGGGTCGAATTGGGAGTGTACGAACTTTCAAAAAGGTAACTCGCAATTTTTGAGGAGATTCGTTGGACTCGATCTTGTCCCTGTTTTATCAAACCGACGAATACGTCTGCTGATTCGCCAATCTGTGGTATCTGCTGCTAACCCGCTCCAGCTCCTGGTGCCGAAAAAATGCTCACAGAAAAGAACACAACAGCTTTGTTTCGAAGCAGCGAGTGCCAGAGCGTGAGTGTGTGCGGGGTGAAAGTACAGCGGTCACAAACTGGCTATTGGAGGGACAGTCTTAACTTGGTCCAATGCTGACGCACGCGGTCTGGCCTTGGTACGAAGCTGCGACGCGCTGCATATTGCGGGGGCGTTGTCTGACCTTGATCAACGCTGACTCTCGCTGCCTGGGTTTGATACAAGGCTGCGAAGTGCTGCGTTGTCTGTCTGGCGAACATCTAGAGGAGCTGAGAGTCTCAGTGGATTTCGGGCACTCAGCGGTTGCTTTCGGGAATCTGACCTTCCTGATACTGACCTACAGGAACCCATGGAAATACTCAGTGGGGTAAATGATTTGATGGAGTTGTGGATGGTTGCGTTATTTTCACGTTTCATAGTCACATCACTCTTGTCTGAACAGTCGTCCTCCCGTGTCGGCGAAACTATTCTTGTGAGTCCACACCAAAAGGAGATTGTACTGGACTCGAGATTCGCTCTCCTTAGAGCTCACAAGCAGTATATATCCTTGACGGTGCCGAGGTTTGAACCCTGCACATATGACATACGAGGCGAGTGTTGCCACCGGCACAGGCTGAACGTAGAACAAACAACGGCCTACTTGTATTTTTCGACAAATAGTATTTTTCGAAACTCATTCGTCAACAAAAAGACGTCGGAGACCATCCAAAACAGGTAGGCATGTGAAGATTGGTAGTGTGTTCTTTTTGCGATTCAAAACAAATCACCTAAGGTTGTTTATAAGCCGGGCATTCCAGACAGCGTATTCTACGGAATAACAGTCCTTCGGACACGTTCGTCATAAGCACCAGTCGAAAACTTCATTCCGTTCACCACAGCTTTTCCGCTATTCAGCCGAGCTGCATTTTTCACGGTGGGTTGTTTGGTGGTGTCCTGAGATCTAGTGGAATGATCAGATTTCGTACAGACACGCAATGGATGCACATCACTGTTTCAACGTAACCTTGAGGGATAGTATGCTGTCAGGTGCTATTAAAGTATGCACAGTGCCTTCTTATTCTGCATGAATATTTTCACCACCAGCTTTGGGGCACACCAACCTTGGCCTGGGAGAATAACTGGACCGCATATGATGCCCCCCAGACAGTTCGTTGAAAGTAAGCACTGTGGCATGTATCTATGCCCCCTGAAATGCCTTCCATCAACCTCTCTGTCTTGACAACAGCCTTTTCGTGGCTACTCACACCATTTTTTCAATAAAGTTTTGACAGGAAACCGACGTTTGTGTATTCGGATATCTCGGGGCTTTAATTTGTTTTCGTTTTGTTTAATGCCTGTCAGCAAAGGCAGCTGTGTCCTGGGTAGAAACTTGGTAACGGGGAAAGTCGAACGGAATTCGGTCGATGGCCTCAGGATCTGAACTGCAAACTTGCGAACTCCACACACACAGAGATTTATACCACTAGGCCAATGGGCCACATTGTACCGTTGGTGGAAACCTCTGTTAAGTGGCTAAGTCTATTGGGGCCAGTTTTATGGTCGGATATGAACCACGTGACTCGGTCCAGCAATAGTGTGCATTGTACCGTTGGTGGAAACCTCTGTTAAGTGGCTAAGTCTATTGGGGCCAGTTTTATGGTCGGATATGAACCACGTGACTCGGTCCAGCCAATCGTTTGCTTGCGTTTGTCTTGCGTACGGATCGACAATCTCGAGGACTCGAGACGGACACTCAGAGAAGAGCTCAAGTGAACCAGAAAATTCTTCGTATTTTGTTCATAATCACACCACTGTCGTTTGAATGGCCACCCTCCTGTTCTGGCGTAATTATTCTGGTATTTTGCTCACACGTACAAACCAGTGAGCTATTTGGACGTTTTGGAACCAGGCTGTCATCAGCACTTGCGTGCCCTGTCGCCAAATCATTCACGCAATCCAACAGTTGCGAGTTTCGGGGAGCCGGAGGTAAAAGAGGCTTACCGGTTGCACAGTTCTGTCGCTAACATGTGTTAGCCAACAGACACTCAGCGACCACAACGGCATCCCTTGGCTGAGATTTCAGCTAAGCTACACAGAATCTTTCATTTTGCTAAAAACCTGGTTTAGAGCAGTCGTATCCGTTTACCAAATAAATAAACATGAATCTAAGGTTTGAAACCAATCACTTTCACACCAGAGGAATTCGCAGTACTGATGGGTGTTGCACTTGTCTATATTCCATCACACGAGCACGGGGGTGATTGTATATCTAACAAATTGACTAAAAACTTAGCAAAACAACTGCTGGATTTTAACCCCCAGTTTGCAATGAACACCATCGAGGGACACCATAAACTCCGTCAGGTAAACGGTGCCACTGAATTTATTGCCTCCCATTAGGATATTCCCTGAAGTTCACTTCGAAACTGGCCCACCCTCTGAGTTGACCGGTAGACTGTTGAAGGTCTAAATACATTGGAAACTTCAGACTAGTCTTCAGAAGTGGCTTCTCAAAAGAAGTGCTGTTGAAAGTGGACTGTACAGTGAGGATTACTGTACCCTTCACAAATCAAACTAGGGCTCAAGTCACAAATCAAGGGCTCGCCATTTCAATTCAAGTAGATGTCACGTCACACAAATGAGCTTTGCAACAGCTGCGCGCCCGAGCAGATGGGATGGTCAGATTTGACAGACTGCGACAACTGTCTTTTATGCCGCGCTTGGATTGAAAGATTTAAACTGTCTGGTGTTGTCAGAAGCAGAGGACACCGAAGGCATGCGAATCACTCATGCAGCCTCCAGATGTTGAACTAAGCCCCCATTTTTGGGATACAACCTGCAACTTTTAGACTCAACAAGTAGTATCAATGCACAACCAACGCTTCCTCATGATGCATGCGTAGCACCAAACTTCGAGTGAGGTGACAGGGACAAAACAGGCTTTCGCTAACCAGATGAATCAAGATGCATTGTCGAAATCCGGTCCGGTGAGGGACGCTCCACACATTTGTGCGCAAGAGCAGTTAATGACCTACTGTAAGAACTGGGGGGGGGTTGCGTGGTGAGATGTGTAACACATAGGATGGCGCTGGACTGGGTTTCTCCAAAGTCCTCTTGTATTTCTTTAATACCTACAAAATTGCATGGACAGAAGAGTACATTTCTCAAAGTAAACCCTTCCAATCAGTCCTTCAAGTAATGCTTCAAGCGGGTAAAGGTACTGGGATGTTGTATGATGGGAAAGTACATGGCATGCCCAATACACGGATGGATGTTATGATTAAAAATATCATATTCAGTAGAAAGTGACAACAAACGGGGCCACTGTTCCTGGTACGCTCTGTGAGTTTAAAGGTTCGGTGACAGAATTTGATTGATCAGATCGTCATTGGGCGACTCTGTTGAGTGACACCAACAACCGGTAGGTTCAGCATACACCTAGGGAAGAATTCAACAAAGTACTATTCAGACAATTGATTATTCTTATGCTTGTAGACGGTTTTTAGGATTAGCCCGTACGATAACATCCAGGTGGGGTTTGATCAGACCTGTGAAGTACTGCCACTTACAAGTATGTTGGTAGTCATCAAACTAACTAGTATGTATATTATTTCTCAGGAGCGCACCAGGCAAAAAATGTCGAACTTATGGTCAATACTTTGCACAATAGGCACATGATTGTATCTCTGTCTACAAGAGTATCCCCGTGTCCAAAGCCAAACTACCTGTCACATGCTCATCTAAATAGATGTTCGCATCCGACTGGTTGCGATAACTGATAAAGCTTTATTGTCGAGCGACTGGGTGCTAGCATGTTGGAATACCGACTAGAATCTGGTGTGAAAACCTATTCGGAACGGAAGCTCAAGGTGCAATTGTTTCGAATTACTGTTTTCGAAGAACCTCGACTCTCTCGCTCTGGATTTTTCGGTTAAATCAATCAGAAGAAGAATTAGCGTAAAGATGAAACAAGACTTTTTGAAACACACAACAAAAATTTGTGCACGTGTATTTTCATCTGTTCTTGTGCTGAGGCTTCTGCACTTTGTTACCGATTTGTCTGTGTATGTGTTTGTATGAATATGTGTGCCATTTGGTACAATTTCCCCACACAACCCAGTAGGATCTCTTAAAATGCTGAGAAGTTTCTGGGTTTTTTTTTATAGATGTTTGCATGTGTGTCCCGAACTAGGATGGCTTCGACCGACTTCGTTGGCTAGTTATGTGCGACTGTAGACACGAGAATGTGACAGTGAAATCTGTCTGACGCAATGAAACCCTTACCGACTGGCGTTGGTTAAGGGGTTTGAGAGGGAGAAAAGTGCAAAAAAAGGCTGTCTGTCTGTCTGTCTATCTTGGACTTCTAAAGTGCATCTTTTCGCCAATCCTCATAAACGGACGCCCCAGTTGGCTGGTGACCGTAGTCCAGATACACGTGTATGCACATCAGTTATGGAACTAGCAAGTTAGTTGACCGTGACGTATGAATTGTTAGCACACAGCTGCAAAGTTGAAAAAACCGTTTGTCGGACTTAGCTGTGGCTTATTTCTGTTTTTTTGCTGCTCTCAGATATATGTTCTTTTGATTACTAAAGGAATGGAGTGAAAGGCTCGTCTTAGTTCCTCAGTACCAGTGGACTGCAAGAAGAGTAACGTTTACATATTTCTTGCTCCCTACAATTGGCATTTCAACGGGATGAACAGTTATAGCCTCAGAAACCTTTCAAACGGTCATTCTACTCTTGAGAGAATGGATCTTCATCAATCGTTTTCCCATGTGGTTGGTTAACCGTACTTCCCATCCTAGCCGTCCTTTCAAATAAGCTTTTATCCAAATCCTAGAGATAAACAACATGAGAAGTTCCTAGTGAATTCACGTAGAATTTCGTCGGTTATTTTGGGTTCAAGTAGAACGTAAGGCTGACGGAAACTCGGGGACTACGCCTACCTGGAGAGATCTAAGAAGGGCTAAACCGGTCATGGGCTGTTGAAGAATTTTCAGCAACCCTATAAGTAGTGCATTGCGTCTAAATTTAATCCGGTTTGCTTCCGTAAGAATGATTTTAATCTAAATTCTTATCTTCTCTGCGGTACATGAACGTTACTGTCGATTTACTGCTCATTACTCAAGGTGGCAGACCATTTGGAGGGCAACTCGCTTACTTGTATACCACACTATTCGAAAGATTTACCCAACTTGCCTATTTAAATGTGCTTCGACTCTTAGTATAGTTAACTTTAATTTATTAGTTAATAGTAAAATAGTAAAATTAATACAATCAGTATAATAATTGGTAAATAAATGCACGAGACTTACTTTTTCAGGGCAAGCGGTATGATCACCGAGTTTGCAGCAGTGTGATTGCACATGCTATTTGCTCAATTGTCTCTTTCTACAGGTGCAAGATAATTAGCGAAGAGGACAACCCAGAGCTTGTCATAGACTAGTACTGGGAATGTCTGTAATGATGAATACTTGGATGATCGGACGTCTACGAGCAGCTGTTTCTGTTGTTTTGAAAAAAATAACTGACAACTATGTAGAAGTTTCCATTTCACCAAACGTACTCTTCGCGTGGTGATTGGTCAATGGTTAAGTGCTTACTATCGAGGTATTGTGGAACGCAACGAAGCTGTCAAACATATCATTGTGGCATTACAGTCATTTTTTACCATCTATCGGCCAAATATAGGGTGTTACCTATTCTGTCTTCTCTGCTAATATAACACACGATTCCGACGATATATTGCTACTAAATAGCTCTCTCTTTATAAGAGACACATTTAAGAGACAAGTCCAGTTCGTGCGATCTGATGTTTTAGCTGACAGCAAACAGTTTATCCCCACGGGGTGAGACTCAGACATGGACAAAGCACACATCGAACAAACGGTCTCATCGGGGGCCTTGACTTTGTCTTACTCACTGAATAAAGACCGATAAACCGAGTTCCACTCATCCAAAACCAACCAAAGAAGAAGTGATTCACATTTTGTGAATGAATCCAAATCATATCAGTTTTTCAATCTATACGACGGTAGTAGGCTGATTTTGTAGAAGATTCTGCCCTTTCTCACTCCAGCAGATCAAAATTTCGTGCCTTAGCAAGTCAGAACACAGCAGTTGAAAGCGCCTGGATGAGTGATTTGGAAACCACTACCGATTATAGTATCTAGTTGTGTACGAAAAACATCAGGAAATAGCTGAAGATGAGCCAGACTGCCTGAAGACAGCTGGCTCGCGCAAGCTAGCGCACCTATCCGGAAAAGTGGAAACAGGTTTGTGAATACGGTATTGTTACTCTAGTATGATCACGAAAAAGCCAAAAAAGGATCGTATTAAGTAAGTGGTCGTTCAAAGGAAAGAACACAATTTACAACGGCCGTGGAATAGTCTGTTTCCAATCTGTACTATACCTGTTTAGTACAAACATATTCTAACAGGGAAGCAATTGTGGCTACTAACAATCAATGAGGAGACAGAAATATAAAAATGGAATGCTTAGCCGAGTTTTATGAAATCACGTAACCATCCCAGACCTACAGATAAGCTGAGTTATAGAAAACATGGCCAGAAAGCATATATGCACTGCAATTTGGTAAGCCATCTTAGATACTTAATCCCGCGACGAAGTACGTGAACTAACGTTCATTATCTACATCCTGTAAATGGAATACTGATCTGTTCCCACAAAGAAATTCTTTCTCAAGGTCATGAATAGTAAAGTTGATCACGTCAGGTCTTTTTTGAAAGCTGCGAAGCGGATCCAGCTGGGCTACTCAAATTTTTTCATCGTTGCTTGGATGTTTATGAGGAGGTTTTAAATGCCTTCGTTTTGGTTGTTTGTGATCGCGAGATTTATAGAATTCACTTTCACATCACTCGTTTGAACGATCGTCCTCCTGTCCTAGAGCAATTATTCTGGTGAGTCCACACGAAAGGGGGGATGCGCTGGACTCGAGTTTCGCTGTTATTAGAGCTCGCCAGCACTGCATATCGTTGGATGTGCCGGGATTTGAACTCCGGATTTCTGACAAGCGAGGCGAGCGTGTTACCACTACTCCACCAGCGCACGTTATGAACAGGCGGACACATTCACGCTTGATCAGTGCGATTTGTTCGTCTGATGCCTCCCTCTGTTCTCCCCAAGGTGCGCCAGGATTCCAGTTACTGCTGATGTTCTGGGGAAACTATCAACAAATTAACGTCTCCGTGAGACAAACTCGTCAGTCCACCAATGAGGGATGAGAAGTGTGTCTCACAGATGTGTGGATTCAGCAACAACTTCTACATGTTCTGAAATAATGAACAAAGTAGTGACGTACAGGGAAGTGTGGGACGTTAAATAGGCCAGTGTGAAGCATAAAGACTATAAAATGGATAAGCTTTTTCCTACAGTGACTTCGCCAGAGAGGCGACACACGTTCAGCAACACGGCAATCGATGTTTTTCATCCATATCATTTGGTCCAACCATGTCACTGAACCACCTGCATTCACGTGATTCTTCACATCGAATCAAAGGACTCTCTCACGATAACGAAGATTTGGAATTTGAATGATGTCGGTATCATGAAGTTATAACCCCGAAATGGTTGTATGAAAAGCGAGTTGGGGAGGAGCCATCATTGCCTCAGCTTTGGTCAGGGCTCCTGCGACGGCATGTCAGTTACAAACGTAAATCCACTGGCCTTTTTCCATTTCAACCAGTGTCACTTTCCCAGTTGTGTATAATGCCTTTTTATCCCTTCTATTGATCAGCTATACTCGTTGGCTTCGTGACCAAAACAGACTAGATGGTAACTGAGTGAGCAAAGGCAGCCATACCATGTGAAACGTCACATGTGAGGCCTGCCCTGATTAGAGTTGAGATGCCAACGCAGGCAGTCAGTGGGTAATACGCAGCACTACTACACGCTTTGTTAGTTGTTGTCCATTTGCGCTCCCGGGCTTTGCTGCACTGTACTCTTGGAGGTTGGTCAGATAGTTTATTATTAGTGCACTGCTGTTGATGATGTCCATAATGCAAATCAGAAGGTGTATGCACTAATAAAAATTTTTTTAGCATGGTTGCAACAGTGGTGGGTTGCAACACAAAAATAAATACAATGCAAAAATCGGAGCAAGTCAAAAAAGGAACTTATCGTCTGTGAGAGTCCCTTGGTGAAAGTCCAGACGGCGAAACGTGTTTTCTCCGCAGTATTGCTGCTACACGTGTTTCATAGTTGTCCGTGTACTTGTCGAGAGTGGTTGACGTCCTGCTCCCCGCGCGCGCGCGAGTTTGTGTGCTGTGTTCTGTTCCCTATATGCAGGTCCGTTTGCGTGCACATGGGTGTCAGCACTGAGCTGTTGCTACGCTCACTAGACGGTACAGACAATCGATGTCCGATGCGTCGCCTTAATGTGACGTGGTTTGTGAGTACGAAAAAAGACACGTCTCGTGATCCAGTGAGCGATTGTGAGCTGAACAGTCAAGTATATGGGTGACCGGGTAGCTACAAGTTTGGTTCGGCTTTGTTTCGGGCGTTGACCGACACCAGAAGCCGCATAGGTCAATAGGAAAGCCCGTAGGCAGTTTAGTGGGTGAAGTTGGCAAAAAACTACAGATAAGCACTTCTGGAATGCCATCATCGGTCGTTTTGGAGAGGAAGGCGCCACAGTGAGGGGCACGCTGGACAGGGAATATTTTAGTCCATCTAACTTAAAGATCATCTGGGAAATAATTACCGTAAAGTATCCTCTTTAAAACACTTGAAATAATATCACTTACCAATTGTTTCTGTTTAATCTTGAGTATAAAATTTTGCCAGTTGAAACATAGATTTTTCGTAATCATCTTTGAACCTGATCTTGTTTTGAGTTCCTTCATCTAATCAAGAAATGAAGAGCACTTTTATTGACCTGGAATGTTGCATGTTGTTCTAACCGGTTCTGGCAGTTCCAGTTCGCATTCCTAGAGTATAAACAGTCCTCGCACCGTAGCGTGGTAGTTCAGCGATTCTGAAGTACGTTTAAAATCTCCTGGGTGTTTCGTTCTGTGAAAACTCGTATATGAGAAACGTCTTTCGAACAAACCGGCTTGCCAGTATCTTGAATCTGTACTATAAGTGGGTGCAATGAACATGGATTTCCAATAAATTTAAATCAGGCGTCCCTCTAGACCATGAAATTGAAGCTTCCAAAAACGTTTCTAGGCTTTTCTTCTGCGGCTACCCAGTTAACTCAACAAAAGGGGTGAAAATGTGGGTGAATCTCTCCAAGTAGGCGCCACGTCACGAAAAATTTCCTCTGGTTTCTATGATGGCTTCCTTCAGACTAGAACAACCTAGTTTGGATAGATTATTCGCTAGAGGGGGTAAAACCTATCAGGTTGAAGAATCAGGCCTCGACATAGTAGAAACGGCTGAACAGTCATCTGTTTCTTGGAAAATGGAAGATCAGTTTGACCACGTTTGACTGTCCGGACCATCTGAGGCTAGCAATAAGAAACATGGAGGTAATGTTGCCACATCTGCGTCGGAACTCTAGAAGAGGGTCAACACAATCTTACTTTGCCACATGATGGACTACGTTTCTTCCATCATCCCGGCTGAAAACTTTCCCTTTCGGTTTCATAAAGTGTTCCCTCTCCTGACTCGAAGCAAATATCACTGGTCATTGACCTTTACAATGTGGCGCAGATTCTCAGTTATCAGCACCAGTTTAATACACGCTGTATTCAAACTTTGAAAAAAAAATTGAAAATGTGGAACTTAAAAGACCGCTACCATCAGCGATCAGTCCAGTGGTGAAAGTGGCATAGCGAACTTCGGAATTCAATTTGCACAACAAACAGTTAATTTTGATTGTCCACCTTCCCCTCTATTTTGGTTGCCGTGACAACAGCCGATTGGTGTACTAAAAGCTCGTTGAATAATGTGACAACTTTTGTGAAACTACCTACTGGGGCATTAAATTGTTGGAGCCTCACGCCGTTTGACCGTTGACCAGAGATCTCACGAGGACGTGTGATCATCTCTGAGGCGGCGACCTGATTGATTTTCATATTCATACTTCGACAAAGCTCCAGTGACATCTGTTCTTACTATGCTAAAATTAGCGGTTTTGACTCTTAACTACAGTAGTTTTTCTTCTCACTGCGACCACTTACTGAATAAAAACCACTAACAGCGGTGTCCACGAAGTGTAACCATAGATCGTGAAATATGCCTATTGATCTTCGCTTACACCCAGGCCTTTGGACTCCTTAAGCGGTTCACAAGCAAAAACTTTTCAGTTGCGTTCTCGGTTTTTCCGTGCTTTTTGTTTTCATGACCATTTCGATTTTGTTTTACATGCATTCTATGGTATTTTGTTATCATGCCTTGAGTCCTACTTGGATGGATTTAGTTTGGTGTGCATTTCCTGCCAATACATTCTGGACAGTCCGAGTCGTGAAGCATACAACGTTGTCAGAAGTGACTCTCTATGAGGATTTTTATGCACACTATGTTCACGTAACCTTCATAAGGATTATTCAAAAACTTACTGAAGGTAAGCTTCGGTTATTCCGCAAACAGAATTTAAGGTACACGCAACATAACAAGGCTTTCATAACAAGGCTTTAGTAAAATCAGTAACCAGAATATCGATCTGGCTTGTAGGTTGGCTTCCGTGACGTGACGGCTGATCGATCAGCTGACCTAGTCTTTTTGTACCCACGTGACGAACGATTTTTCGCCCGCTTTTCGACAATAGTGCCACTGGTGTGTCAACACGAAATGATTACATTTATCTGTGCACGTATTCCGAAGCTGCAATAGAATCTCGTGAGAATACACCTAAATAAATAGGTTTGGCTGCGCATAGCTGCTGTCAGTTATGGTCCAACCTCGATGACGTGCAAATATGCGGGAAGATGCGTGTTCTTCCTACGCAATAGTAAAAATTACCAAATGCCTCTTTGGAACGCTCTAATTCGAACAAATAAGCAGGCATCATAAGGAGGAGGTTCAAAATAAGTCAGTGCTGGGGAGGTAGGTATCGCAATTCTCGGTGCCAACTCTGGATCATTTGTCGGGCCCCTTGGGAATTTGTTTTAACGAAAGACACTTTGATACGCAGATCCACTCTTTCAACGGTCATTTTCATTAGTAACCACTCAATTAGGATGTCCTTTAATGGCGAGACAAACGGGAGATCTATATCATAAAAATAATACGTGAGTTAAAACTGATCAAGATGTACTGGTAGCTCATTGCCTGTTTTGTCCTGTTTAGGCACTCAGCAGGTTATTGTCTTCCCCTAATACTGAACGAAGGGTAGGACTCAAATGGTTGACCAGTGGTCAGTAGATGCTTTTCTCCTTGAAGCGGTTAGAATTTGGTTGATCGGTCAGTGGCTTAGGGACCGTGGTCGACTTCCGCATCAAATACATTGGAAAGTTTTCGGTCACTGTTTCAGAAGGGCAGCAGTTTTCTCCCTCAGTTTCTGTTTCACATTACCAAATGTGAAATGACAGGTAACACTGACAGCAGGGTGATCCTTTTCTAACAGTTTACTAGCTTGCGGTCTATCGAACTAGAACATTCTTGGATGCAGAGTTACTGTTCAGACAAATGAAAGCCCCGTATTTTGAAGACAATAGAAGCACCATTCCATTTTTGGAAAAGTTTGGAACCGATTGAGAAGTTATCTTATCCGAAGGGTTCGGTAGATAGTCAGTGGGTATGTTGCTGGGTAACATTTTGTTTTTGACCAGGTAAAGTGGATGGGTCACCAGGTTAGCCAAGTTTTAAGGCAAGGGGAACACTAATCAGTACACTAGATCAGTGTTGTGTCAATTAAAATGTCCCGTCGGCTAGCTTGGTTTCTGGTCTGTGGATGGAGGATTTAGTCATTTTTTCGGGGTTGTGTCCCTGATTTTCCAATTCAAGTTGCTTCAACTGATGATTCCTCTTGGGTAGATTTTGTTAAATCTCTGTGAAACAAGAGAAGGAAGCGAGATTACATGAAAATTTTGGTGGAATTGTCCTATGCACTTCAGAGCTAACCTGTTTATGGTGTCCCTAGCCTATGTGGAATAACATCAGATGAGATCCACTCCTTGTTGGGCTTCGACACAGGAAGAATGCCTTCCTTAATTGACGCTTAAGCTGGATATCCGCTACCCCGAAGTATTGTGAGCCGCTATCTGATCAGCT